CCAACACCCCAACAGCGGTCAGAAGGACGAGGATGACTGGGCAGCCATGTCCACCACCTGTATACCCAGCGGGAGTGCAAACGCATCTACCGGCAGCGAACTGCCAGCACATACCAGGCTACGAGGACCACGGTTTGCTGATAATGGTATAGCACATGCTTACAGACCTTTTGACCGAACGATTACCACCTACGCTAGGCAGTGGGCACAACACCACTGACTTGCGCGTAAGATCAGACTAGCGCTCAGCGTCCATCACAGTCTGTATCTCATCACCGACTGTGCTCCGTGCGTAGATCATCAGGAGAGGGCGCGGACGCTGGAAAAGCCAAACAACCCGTCTACACCAACCACACACGACCTGGTCCCCACTCCAGGTGTGCCATTCCGCTTTAGGGGCGCTGTCCGGCTCTCTCTTTGATGAAAATGTCACGAGGTCTACATTAAGGAGTGGTTATTGCAGCCTGACAATTATTCCTTGGAATTATCCCATCAGTAGACAACATTTCCTGCCACGACTCTTAGCGCGTCGTGATAGATTCAAGCTCTTCAGCCTTCAGTGAGGAATGAGGTAAAGTGCCACTGGGCAGGATTCGCCGGTGCCGGCTTCATTTTCTTTTCCACACTGGCGACTCGTCCTCACATCGCGCATAGGTTTGGTGGGTCGCTTGCGAACCCATCTCCCATTCACGCCCGTCACACACACACACACGACAGTTCGACCGTCGATTTCGACGATGTCCACCGTGTGCCCCACAGACTGCATTGTGGGAGCAGGGACGGTGACTTGCGCAGGGGTTTATAGTGCCGGTAGACTTGCGCTGCATCTACCTACACTCTCTCCTCCCCCGCCTTAGCCCGGTGTCAGGACAGAGTCAAGAAGACCGGAGACGGGGGAGGCCGCAGGTGGATGGCTCGGACGGATCCTCGCCTTGGCGCTCCACTCCGCACCCCCTTGTCCACACACAAATGACCAGGATTTTGACCACAAAACAATGGGGTGGAGGCAGTGGTCCGGTTGTGCGACGAATGCCGACAACAGGGTCCGCCAGCGCACCCCGCAAATGTTGGCATTTGTTATTACGCAAAGATAACGCCTGCCAGAGTCCGATGTGGCCCCCGTGTTGGTCCAGCACATCTAACACGTGGCCCGTTTTGAGGGCACAACACGCACACACACACACACCGTACCAGAAACCGCAACGGACCATCGGACCGTATGCGCATACACGATGACCTTCGGTAAAGGTATACGTTTTAGACCACAATAAAACACCTTAGCCAGCGTAAGCCACACGGACTGGGTCCATCACATGTGACCTGCGCGTGAATTCATTGAGGTAGACTTGCGCCACCTCCACCACAGCCTCCATTCCGCCACCCGCCCTGCTTCAATGACAGCACACTGTCAAAGATGAGCGCGAGCACAGAGGCAAACAGTGCTATACAACCCGCCTACGCCTGCCACACACGATCTCGTCCCCACCCCAAGGTGCACCAGTCTACTGTACGGGCGACACGAGTCTCCCTTTGATGAAGATGTCACGAGGGCTGCATTGCGGAGGAGCCATTACAGCCTGGCTATCCGTCCTGACAGGATCGAGTAATCCCGTCAGTTGGCAAAATCTCCTGTCATGACTTCTAGCGCGTCGCGCTAGATGCGAACGCCTCAGCCTTACCGCAAGTAAGGAACTAGCTGGGGTGCTGTGGGGCTGGATTTCCCGATGCCGACCT